TTAATATTCTGTGAAAGCAAATCAGCAACTACCTAAGGATTCCAACTGCCTTTTTTTAAAAACTGCCCCCCCCCCCTCCTTTTTTAAAAACTTTTTACAGATTGGCACAACCTGTTTCTATAGACATGCAACCCTTCAGGAGGTAAGCTAATAAACTGGCATTTCAGTCTTGTTAATTTGGGAGATGGGAGCTAAGTCAAAGGAGCTGTTCTGGCCTCTGAGCCCAGAGTAGCTATATGGAAAGAGGATTATGCGGCCTATGGGGATGGCTGGCTAGAAGGAAAGCCAATAATTCCTTTTAGGCATTTCATCACTGGCCATATCCCCTCTTGCCTTTGAACTTTCCTTGGTTGAAGAAACAGAAGAGCAGCTCCAGACTTGTCAAAATACCTTGGACTTCTTGGTGCTATTAATTCGTTGGAATGTTGGCAGGCGCAGGCTGGCTCACCAAAGAGGAATGCCTTTGGCTGTGTCCAGTGGTCAAGGGCACTAGCCAGTTGCTTTATGGGAGTTTGGTGATGACCCAAATTAGTCAGGCCTGGCTCTGAACTTCTTAAGTAGGATGGCCATAGGGTTGCCTTGGGAGGGCTATTGAGAATTATTTGACTACATGCCTGTATTTGGAAAAGGAGGCCTGAAACTCATCAAGTCCACATGTGCAAATAACTACTTTGATACAAGGGCCTGGTGCAAGTTTGAAGGATAGAGGAAGGTTTTGAGCTGTACCTTTTTGATAAGGAAAGGAGGAGAAAGGCATTCCAGACAAATAAAGCTTCCAGCACGTGAAAAGGCTGGAATCATAAAAGTGTGTGATGTAAGGTGGAGGAGACGAGAATGCAATGGAAGGTTGGGAAGGATCTTCTATGCCACAGATAAAACTTTAATCTATGTTATTTAGACACCAGGCTAACATTTCTTTAGAAGAATAACCCCCCAGAAAGAGATAGCTTCTTCCAGAGGGGCTCAAGTTCTATTACCCACTGGGGGCTCTTGGTATGTCCACTGAGAGGTGAGGGATCTACTAGTAAGAAGTAATTAACTTAAAAGTAGACATTTGCCGGTAGGGTGAACATCTACTTAACCACTCAAACCCAAACACTTCAGAGTGACAAGAGCATCTATTAATAAATATGCTGGACACAATTTGTCCAAGTCTCTCTTGGACACAACAAAATGTTTGGCCACCCCTTTTCTTGAGCCCTTTCTATGTACTAGGCATTGCAATAGGGTTTTAACTCAGATCATTAATCCCCCCAATAACTCCATTAATTCAGTGTATTGCCATTTGACAAATCATGAGGAGTATCGAAAGTAGAACTGGCATCCTTTTGCATTCCTTTTCATACTCCAGAATCTTCCTCTTCCACACTCATGTTTAAAAAACCCTCTGATCATGCTCAGGGCATCCAGCTACTTCACCGTATACCGTTCCCAGTCACACCTACCTGCAACCTGCCTCCTAATTCTCCCCAAATTAAGGCTTTGACATTGAATTTGAGACTTCATCTCCAAACCTCACTGCTTCCCAGTCACCTGATGTCATGACCACAGCCTGGACCTTGCCACTTCCTACAAAACTTTATTCTTATAATTTATTAACTAGAGGCCTGGTGCACGGATTCATGCACGAGTGGGGTCCCTCCGCCTGGCCTGCGCCCTCTCGCAATCCGGGACCCCTCAGGGGATGTCGGACTGCCAGGTTTCAGCCCAATCCCCACAGGTTGAAACCCAGCAGTCCAACATTCCCCCAAGGGATGTAGCAGTGCCGAGTGGCAGGGGCTGGGCACAGCTCCGCTGTCGCTCATACCGGTCCCACTACACCTGCTGCCACCGCCCGGGAGCGCTGCAGCTGTGCTCACCAGGTGTGAGCCCGGCTTCTGGCTGAGTGGTGTGCCTGCTGTGGGATCACACTGACCATCAGGGGGCAGCTCCTGCGTTGAGTCTGCCTCCTGGTGGCCAGTGTGCATCATAGCGACTGGTCGTTCCAGTCATTCCGTCGATTAGGCTTTTATATATATAGATGGTTATATTATTTGTATTATAACTGTAAACCTACTTTTGCCCACCCCTGTATAATAGGCTTACCACTTGCTAAATACCTGTAGAGTACCAAAAACAGAGAGGCCTACCAACTCTCTTGGAGTTTAGGCCTGGTCAACTGTCTACATGCTCCCAGGCTTAACAGCTAAAGGCTGCACATGAGAATGCAGAAAACTGATGAAAGTGAACCAAGCAGCTCTCCCACTTATCCTGCAGGGAAATGCTGACTGTAGAAGCCGCATGAAGGAAACAAATCTCCAAGGGCTACTATTACCTGTGCTGACACTATTAATCTGTACACAGGAAGCCATTTGCAGACATTACCTCATCCTCTAATCTCACATCTAACCAGGTAACAGAAGTTATCCTCAACTTACCTTGTCTGTGAGGAGATTATGACCCAAGCATCAGAATAACTCATGGCTTTACTAAAACCCAAGTGTTCATGCCACCAGCATGAATTAAGCAGTGGGCATCTTTGGCTTGTTCTGGAGCCAAGCACTAAAATGCAAAATGGGCTGAAACCGGTTTGGCTCAGTGGCTACAGCGTCAGCCTGCGGACTAAAAGGTCCCAGGTTCGATTCCGGTCAAGGGCATGTACCTGGGTTGCGGGCACATCCCCGGTGGGGGATGTGCAGGAGGCGGCTGATCGATGTTTCTCTCTCATCGATGTTTCTGACTCTCTATCTCTCTCCCTTCCTCTCTGTAAAAAATCAATAAAATATATTTTAAAAAAATAAAATAAAATAAAATGCAAAATGGACCTCACCTCGACTTCATCAGAGGTGTAAAAATCTAGTTTAAAATGGCCCACTGCGAGCTCTATTCTAAGCAGTTGTCTCATCTAAGATCACCTTGCTGGGACAATTTCAGATCTGTTACAACCCCAAGAATGTATAAGAATCCCACATGGCTCCTAGGCTACTATCCTAGGCAAGCGTTAAGTTTCATAGGAATTCAATCGAGTTGATTGGGATTGGAGCTCATGGAAAGAATGGGATGTAAATAAGGAATAACAAGCCCTCATGATGTTGCATTCTTTCTTCCTAGAGGATGGATATCTCTACTTAACACCAGTGGCTTCAAGTGCAAACAAGACTTTCACTTTTGGAAGACGTGAACTTGATAAAGGTATTAATGCCAAGATATTTCATTTAGCCTTTCAGTTCATGGGTGGAGAGAGAGGAGGGGAAGACAGTGTCCTGCCACCAGTCAAGCTAAGAAAAGTTGGCCCCAATCTCCTTTTCCTTCTTCCTGTAACAGGTGAGGATCTTTTCAGTATGGAGCTTCCTCCTCTCCCTGTCATATTGCGAAAGCAGGGGGGCTGCACAGAAAGCCATCTCTCCCACCCACCTGCAAAAACTTAAAACTTGCTTTTGAACTTCTTTATGGCCTGGCCACTCTGTAGCTTCCTCCAGTCAAAAGATATGAAGGAACCTCAGCTGTCCCTATTTCACATCTGATTTTCTACTACCACCCAGCACTACCGACCTTCCCCCTGCCTCATGCCAGCATCCACCTCCATTTCCATTCCACAGTTTCCATTCCACAGAAACTTGACTCATTTGCCAGTTACTTAAACTGAGTCCATGTATTTCAGTTATCACCAGTCTCATTTTCTACAATAAAATAATTTAAGAAATTAGAATAAGGAAACTTCCAGGAACATACCCTCATGTTAGAGGCGCAGCCCAGATACAGGCTCACGGCCCAGTAGGAGCAGTAACAGATACAATGTGTATGTGACACCGACTACTTCAACTGCCACTTAGTGTGATTATATCTTGGAACAGCCTTCCACTTACCTAACCACACCAACCAGTCTAAGTTTAACTAACTTCATCATTGTCAAGTCAGCTCAAACATGGAGAAACAATAGCCAGGGCAAAGTCCTGTGTGTGGCTGGTTCACAGGTCAATAATCCTAGATACACATCCTGATTCTTCCTTGCTCTCTGGTCATAGCAGGGCTTAGATACTGTCCAGGGAAGGAATTTTATCCCTCTCCCATAAGCTCCACCCGTGGAATCTGCTAGGAAAACCTTCCTTCTGTGTTGCTTCTTCTTATCAAGTGATGTAAAACTTGGAAACTGTTCTCAATAAGTGACATTGTATGCATGAATTTATGTATATGCAAATGGGCTATGAAAGGAGCCTGCTAGTTTGAGTTCTGGCAACACAATCAACGTGTTTTTCTGCATTTGGACTGTATCAGCAGTTTTCAAAGTGATCTGTGCATGAGCCAGGGTCTGGGAGTAGATGGTTTTCATCAGTTCTACAATCTACTCTGGGCTTCTATCATGTGTTTTAAAGGAAGGATTACATTGCTGGAAGGTGGGGAAGAACGTGAAGGCTGAACTGATCTTCTGGTGTCTAAACAGATAAACACGAGAATAACCTATTTCCTTGTTGCTACTCCAATTCATTTGGACATGTACTTGCATGGTGAGAGAAGTTAGGAGACTGGTCTTCGTCCTGGTTTAAAAAAGCACTTTAATCATCATTTATCTAATCCTAGCTCATTGCTCAGGCCATTTTGTGAAAACAGCAAATATATAAAACCTCCCATTAGCAGCCACTTAAAAGCAACGCTCCTCCTTCAGAAAGGTGTGTGGTGGTGATATGAGCACATGTGGCCCTGGAAAGCCATTCCTTTCCACACCACCCAGTGCCTGCTCAGTGACCTCCCAGCCAGGACCCTCCTGACTTGCCCTTTATGTGCTTTTATCTCACCACGGTCTGTTCTGACATGAGGCTTAACTGCCCAGTAATTATGGTACCAGGTAGTGGTTTCAGACTTTCCAAGGATGAAGTACCTACACTCTAGGGTTATTATCAGGGTTTTACTTATTCTTAACTCTAGGGGGCTATTGTCTGATCAGAGACTGTTCCCCCGCCCTCCAAAGGAAATACCAGATTTGAATAAACCATGGCACTGTGGCTTAAAAGATTTAACTCAAATGATAGCAAAACACTTTTAATCCCAATAAAGAGCTTATTCTGCACAATTAGGAAAGAAAGACACCAAACCATTTAAACACAATGTATGTACATTTATGGCTTTATACAATAATAGCAAAGATTGTTCTTGTGTCTGTAAGTATATCAGCATCATCAGGCACTTCTCAGAATATTGGAACAGGAACATGGAATCTGCACTGTTACTAAACTCAAGTAGCAAAATTCAGGAGAGCATGACTACATCCTGACAGGACTCACATGGCCACACTGCCAGGCTGGGCACCACCCTCGAGGAGGAGGCCAAGAGTCACACCCAGCAGCTTTGTTTGCATAAACCACATTGTGTTTTTCTACTGAATGATTACTCCCAAACTAAAATCAAAAGAGAAACTTCTCATTTAAAAGTCAGTTATAAATTAAGAACTCTTAAGAGCTGACCGTAAAAATTTCGTGGGGCTAGGTAGCATATATCCAGTAGCTGAGCAAGTCTAAATGTATACCTTTGGAGAACTGTTTCCATTTCAAGTATCTTCTCTTCTTGGGATGTCCCGTTGATTCACTGCTTGCTGGGATAGAACATTTGCTAATTAATTTAGACTGTCAGTTTGTCAAAGCGAACTTTCCATGTAATGTATCTATTACCTAAATATATTCCATACGCCTATATTACAGAAACAATACTTTATATTTAAAATTATCTGAATAGCTCTATAATACAATATGCTTTTAATAACAGTACAAACCAAGGAAAATAAATCAAACAAGGCTGCATAGGTGATATCATTTGCACATTTCACAAAGCAATCATGTACAGTAACTGATAGACTAATTACTCTAGAATGTCAGTATTCGTACAGAAAAAGAATCACCAGAGGTCACATAATGTTTTCAAAATAGACGAGGTGCCTTTCACTGGAGTTCATTGTACCCCAGAGAGCTAGCTACCCAGGATTCATGTCAGAATTCCAACATAAAGAAAAATTTGAAAGAAAAAAAAAGATATTTACACAGACATGGGAGGGAGAAACATCTTTTTTAAAGTCACACTGTGAAGCAATAAGATGCTAATAGTGATGTTAGCAGTCACTGTCATTGAGGCTCCTGTGTAATGTCATGGGAGGAGAAGTGGTAGCAGTGGTAACAGAAACACAAGTACTCTGCACCAACAAGTTCTGTTCCATATGCAGGAGGCAGTACTGAGAGGAACTAGGATATCTAAAACCAGACATATTTTGGAGTGTCCAACAATGAAGATGGTTAGAGAGGTGGTTGTTTAATGAATTTCCAAAATAGAAGTTACAGTGGGAAGCTTATCACAGAGCTGGCCTCCTATAGGAAATCTATCAGGGACACTTATATTCTTGTTAAACGTGTATGAAAAACCAAGCCAACAGAGATGCGAATCACAGATAAGACAAAGCAAATGTGATCTGGGCTAAGTACACAGAAATCAGAACCTTCTCCAGCAGGCAAGAGGAACATTTTTGTTCAGCTGTTCATTTTATTTTGCTGACTTCAGGCATCCACATGTCTTGAAAATACCAACACTGTAAGTGAGACACAAAGCCAATTGACTTGGTCTGTCAGTTATAGGTAATTGGAAAATATTAAAATCTAATGATCAGAATTAAAGTTTAGGTTGCTAAAGGCTAAAGAAATCCTTATCTTATGCAAAGGCCTTTTAAAAGAATTCAAATATAAAACTTATATCTGGTTTGCTGATTTTCAAATTAATTGCCCCAGTTTTTAAACAGGTTCTTTTCCATTTGGTAGCCATCTGTACTCACGAACACAAAGCATTCTACAAGTCACTGAAGTCACATTTCAAAATCCCCTACTTTGACTTACTCTCTCCATAGTGTGCTATGTAATCTGCAAGACAAAGGGAAAGAATCATGAAGTGTTACCATACCCCTTCAAGGCAGAACTATAAACCAACCTCCACCTCCTAGACCAACACAGAAGCACAGAATTATGAGGGGAAACATTTGTTGAAGCTCAGCTTAAAATGGCTGTAGGTTAAAAGCCCCAGTTTGAGAAAGGAGTACTGTGTTAGATGCAGATCTCCCTTTCTGACCTACAAACATTACAAGGTCTAGGAGTAACTGCCACGATAGGCAGACAGGTATCTATTAGAAGACTCAATGCTATGCAGTATGCTTAGTTCACAGAGTAATAGCAGATGTAATTTCTTTAAAATACATACACAAAAACATATCAAGTTCTCCTAAACATGAAACGTAAAATGTCCTTAAACTGTGCATCACTCTCCTGCCAAAATAGGGCCAGAAACATTGAGTATGCAAGTACTAATTACAATGATTTGAAGATTAGTCAGAAATATCACCAAGCAGCATCCCAAAGTGTACAAACCAGTTAAGCACGTACAAAATTAGTACTAATCCAGTTAGAATACAAAATGAAAATTATTGATGCTGTCTCAAATATCTGGAATTCTACAAATTTACAAGTATACTGTAATAAAGTAGACTCTAGGTTTAAGAAAACATTACAGTTCAATATCTATTCCAAAAATGATCTCAAGTCCCAACAATAACATCAAAAATCATTTATCTGGAAATTAGAACCATTTATATGTTTGTACAAATTTGCAAATAACAAAATAAACCAAAAAAAAAAAAAAATAGAAAAAACCTGTACAAGGCTGGTGTTTACTCTTTTTTTTTTTTTTTTTCAAAAGAGTTTGACAAGTCCATTAATTCAGCAGATTGATGACAGATTACTGGTTCTCATGGAATTATGTGGCAAAATGAACAGGTTCAAAGCTGTTCAATGAAGGTGCAGAATGGAGAGTTTGATTCTCTGTGATTCATCAGTCCAGCAGAACACAGGTAGTACAAACAAAAGTTTAACTTATCAAGGACAGGAGACCATCACAGATTACAAAAAGAGTATAAACTTTCCTTGGACCAAATGGATATACTTAAAAAAACAAAACACACACAAATACAATTCTATAGCTACTGCTTATATACAAAACTTGAAAGCACACCAGGATCCGAAAGTCTTTTCTGCAGTTATATGGTGTAGTGAGTTTGGCACTTGATTGTAATGAAATTTCCAATGGCACAGTCCTTATCTACAGCAGCACATAACCTGCAAACGTTGGGCAAACATCCTGTACAGGAAAAGTGTCTTTGCTGCCAAGTCTGACGAAAGAAAAATAAAATAAAAAAAGGTTTTTGGTGTGTGTGTTTTTTTTTTAATCAAGAAAATGAGAAGACGGGATGAAGGACATCTTTGGACTTCTTAGTTCTTGCTGTCAGACAATCTGAAGTACTTTTAAGTGTAGCCTAAGGAAAAAACAAACACACACAAAATAAAAAATATCCAAATTAAAATCAATGCAACTTAACATGTTGGAGTGACAGACATACTGGGGGAAGGGGAAATAGCTAGAGCTTTCTCAAACAGCTCTGAAATCATTCAATGGGGGAAATTCCACTTAAAAAGCCCTTCAGCATTTGATTTTTATTAAATGTATTCATTTATTGAAGAGCTACTAAAACGATGCAGCCATCTAACTGTTAAAATCTTTACAGCAGTTACAGGAAGGTTCTGTATTTAAACTCAAAAGGAAAATTTATAAGCTATAAAAAGGGTGAAGAATGAATAATAAGATACCTCTTTGCAAGAGGTAGCTAGTTGACCTTTAGAAAGTCTTAACCATGGAAGATAGATGGCAAGTTATAGTATTCCTCTCTTTTAAGTTCTGTTTGCAAGTCTTTTGATAGTGGGGTAATCTTACCTGCTCAATAACTCACTCCTAGCCTGACACCCAGCTATGTGTTGTCGTCTTGACACTATGTGGGAAGCTTTGGTTGGGCAACACATTGTCAAAATTAAAATCCAAAGTATCTCCATCCATGAGGTCGTTCCGAATGATGGATTCCATGTCACAGTCCAAGCGCTCAATAAACATGCCGTCCAAGTCACTCGGGAGCTTCTCCTGGTGGAGAATGCCCATCCTGCCATAGCCGTTGCAGCTGCTCATGGAAGAATAGCCCCCAAGGGCGTTCATCTGCATGGGGTGAGGGAGAGGCACTTGTAAAGCTGTCTTCACTGGGGCCAGGCGGTTCATGCCCGAGGTGTGGGGCATGGTGTTTACTGTGTGGGGCAAGGCACGCCCATTAACTACAGATGTTGGCTGAGCATGTCCAGGGTGGGAATGGGAGCTGGGATTCATCATTTTGTTATGAGATGCCTGGCTGCCATAGCTTGGCATGACCGGATTAGGGCCCATCAACACATTCTGGCCCAGGACCCTACTGTTAGGTTGAGCCACCCCAGGATCAACTGGCGCCATAATGTCATTATGGGGAGGAGAATCAGAAGTAAGTAACTCCTTCAAGAGTCCTGGTGCACAATTATACTGATTCATACCTCCATAGCTCGATTTATTGTCCTGAAGTGTTTGCATTGACATCTGGGGCAAGGGGCTCATGCTGGATTGGCCATAGGTATATTTTTGGTAATTTGGACTGGGTGAATTCAAGCTGGTGTTTGGCGGTGCAAAGGAGTAGCATGGTGTCTGTTGCATCATGGCACCAGGTGAAGATTGGGTTGAAACAGTTAATGACGGTGGTGATGACAGGAGGTTGAGATTATCCAAAAGGTTTTCCATGTTTTCGGGATTGCTTATCTCTGACAGACTGGGCAGAGTAGAAGCCATCTTTGCAGCGGAGGGTGGGTACACCATTGAATGCACATCGCCATCTCCAAGATCATCCTGTTCGGTCATAATGGGAGAAAGTCTCCCACTAATAGTACTAGCATTTGAGCTAGTTCGAGGGCGAAATGTGTTCCAGTTATCAAAGTCGTCATTGCTGTGAGAGCCAGGGCTGGCAGGCCACTTGGAGAATTGAGACCCTGGGCTGTCCCCGGCACCCTCTGGACCAGACTGGAGGGATGCTTTTTTCTTGGCGGCTCGGCCGCGGCTCTTGGAAAATTTACTGTTGTTGTCCATGGATGCAGCTCTTCTCCTGGGGGATTTTCCACTCTTGCCTCCTTCTGGGTTGAGCATCCACCAAGAACTTTTTCCAGTTCCTTCATTTTGCACACGGATGAACTTGCTGTGCAGGGACAGATTATGACGAATTGAATTCTGTAAAGCAAAAACATCATGTTAGAAATACAGTACTTCTCCAAACACATGGAAGTACAGATTTCAATTCATACGGTCAGAGTGGTTCTGAACCCCACTATAAAAGAGCTCAAACTGTAGGAGAAAAATATTATCTTATCTTAAAAATAAAATCTGTATCTTAATGAGGGAACAAAATTAAATGCTCATTATTATAAATACCTTCTTTTATATAAGTATATTTTATAGGGGAATTACCGAAACTGGTTTTAAAACCACTTACATTTTGTTTATAATCAGTGGTATGCAAATAGTACTTCCTAACAAAGTGCTATAAAAACTCTTTCCACTCTATTATTCCTAAAACTACTGCCAATTCCATAAGGTTGCACATATGTCATTTACTTAAAGTGAGAAGTTTTGCATTACTGGGCCTACATGATTATGGAAAAGAAATAAATGAAGCAGCATATATTCTTAGTCAAGAATTAAAACCCTGAAAACTCTAAGACTTAGATTGATTTAAGCCCGAAATATCCATTAGGCAAATACAGGTGAATATAAGAAAAAAAATGGTCACTTTTTTTTAAATTTTAGAAAGCTGAGCTGCCCTCCATCCCCTGAAGAAAAATTTAAACTCGGGTGTTATTTGCCACCCCCTTCTCCCCAAAATAACCAGTAGTATGCATCAACTAATCCAAGGACACTGCATCAGAAGTTATGCTCTATCCAAAAAGACAACCTGGGAAAGGAGGAAGGCATGGAGAGTACAAACAGCTTGAGATTTCAACCTGCTAGGTACAGCTCCATGACTGAACTGTGCCACCTGTACTCCTAGGACAATTTGTAGAGAGAAATCAGCCTTTTTTCAACATTTACGTGGCTCTGCTACTTACTGGCTACATAACCGCATGAAATCCCTTGGACCTTCTCTCTCTCTATAAAACCCTAATAAATATGCAAATAGATCGAATGATGGAGCAACCGAACAACCCGTCACTATGATGTGTGCTGACCACCAGAGGGTGCGCACAGAACATGGTGGGCATCGGCTGCAGCAGGATGGTGGAGCAGGTGAGCGGGGGCACCAGACCAAGGCGGGGCGCCGTTGCTGTCATTGGGGCGAGCCTCTGGTGGTTAATGAAAATTCTTTGCTCCTACGCGCAGTGGTCCCGCCAGGCGCTCGCTCCTGTTGCCGGCGCTGGCTCCACTCGCACCTGCTGCAGGTCCCAATCACTAGCTCGACACCATCAATAAGTGCAGGTGTGAACAGTGGCTGCTCGCACCTGCTGCCAGCTCTGGAGCTGCTGGCAGACAGGGGACTGGGGACACGGTGGTAGGGGCCAGGCGGGGGCGTGGAGGATGGGCCGAGACCTGCCCCTGTGCCCACCGCAGCCTCAAAACCCACTGTTCCTTTCAAGGTGCACAAATTCATGCACTGGGCCCCTAGTGGTATATAAAATGCTCAGTGGTGTCTGGTACACAGTAATAGTCACCAAGGAGAATGTATTAGATCCCATCTTTGAGGACACAAGTTTTCACCAGGCTAAGCTCTATTTCCTTCCTCTTATTCACTAGGGTGTGAGTAGGAGGTATTACAAACATAAATCCACAACTCCAAACACACAGTGAAGGGAGCTGGAGACAGTCTTAAGTTACAGTAAAAGCAGCAAAGCCGGGCTGCAAACAAGGAAGCTCCAATTTGACTCCCCTACTGGGCCCACTCTTCCTTTTCCATATGTGCCAGCATCCAGAGAGCTCCTGGGACATATGGAAAAGGAAAAGTGGGCTCCTCCACCAGAGGACTTAGACTTACATCTTTTTGTTCCCAGCACAGGACAGGGCACAAAGTAAACTCTCCCTACCTGCTCATCAAGACCCCAATCCCAAGTCCAGGAACAAGATTCTCCCAAGTATCCTAGAACTTTGGGAACAGGGCTGAGCACATGGCCCAGCTGATTGAGCTCCCTGGACCCATCACCGCTTTCCTTGACCATGAAAAGACCCTGGCTGGATTTGTGGTCACCCCAGGATGCAGCCACAATGCCCACATCCTCATGCCATCGACATGCCAATCAATGCACCAGAACGAAGGCAGGACAAGGCTGGAGCTCCAACACAAACCATAAGCTCAACTTTTTTTCTCATTGAAGGTAGAAAACAAAATGAGGAAAATTTTTTTCACTTTCTTAAAGGAGATTTAAAAGTCTGAGTGAGGCCTTAGCCGGTTTGGCTCAATGGATAGAGCGTTGGCCTGCAGACTGAAAGGTCCCAGGTTTGATTCCAGTCAAGGGCATATGCCCAAGTTGTAGGCTCGATCCCCAGTAGCGGGTGTGCAGGAGGCAGCCAAACAATGATTCTCCCTCATCATTGATATTTCTCCCTTTCTCTCCCTCTCCCTTCATCTATGAAATCAATAAAAAATATATATATATATTTTTTTAAAAGTCAGAGTGAGGCCAAACAGTCGGGGCTGAGAAATCCACATTTCAGAATGCCCTCTGACCCTCTGTACTACATTCCACCCAAGGGCTGCAACACAGAAGCTATGTGACAAGCCCTTCTGCCAGGGCACACAGAGAGTGTGGGTCAGAAATGGCCCTGAACAGGGTCTTCAGCCTGGAAGGTGGGCAGGTGTGTCAAGTGAATGACAGGGAGCATTCTTTGTTCCCAAGACTTTCCTCTTCCTTTCCACCTATGGATCTGTCCCCAAACTCAATACTTTCTAAAAGAGGCCAAGTACTATGTTTCCCAAGAACTATGTTTCCTATTTCACTCCCATGACACTCCTTATGGGAAGGTCTTACACATACACACACGCTCCCACAGCCACAGCCTCATCTGCTGGGCCAACCAACATCAGCAAACCAAGTTCCAAATTCCTCCTTAAAGAAGCAAGCCTGTCCCTGGTGTAGACCAGAATGGAGTCAAGTACTCTGACCCTGTGGCATGTTCTATATTGTCAAAGTCTGGACATTTGCATAATATTCCATCATGGCTATCTTGTTCTACATAACAGTCACATACATAAGCTACAATGAAGAAATCTCTAAAGAAAAGGAAGCTTGTCACATTTGGTTAATGATTAAGGGGGAAGATCTTCCTAAATAGTAACTTCCTGGCTGTCTTCGCTGACTGGCAAGGAAAGTGAGGAAGTGGGGAGGGGGATAGCCCTGCAGCTCCACAACATTTATAATTAGATCAGATTATTTGCAACTGCAATTGGGGGGCCTTTTTTTTTTTTAATAGGACTGCAGAATACATGATGATGAAATCTTAAAAAAATTTTCAGGAAGCATTCACTAATTCAGATGGGACATACATTAACTCACTAATTAGACTTACAAAAAAGGTCCCACAGCAATCCCTTACTTATCAAAACATTATGCTACATATTTTTCTAAGAGGACATTTGAGGTCGCTCTTTGAGTAACGGAGCTGTCTCCTAACTTTGCCAACAATTAAAAAAAAATTTTCCGAACAGGAAAAGGTTTTCTGTGCAGGGCTTGTTACATAAATTCCTGTTTTTCACATAGCCAGCAGGACATTAAAGAAGCTATGATTTCCAGGGGGATAAGGTTGGGGGTGTTGAATAGGTAAATCTTGTAAAAACTGTGTTGCTATTTAATGATGTTATGTCTGCAAGTCTCTGCCGGACATGATCAAGGCCAGAGGAAAGTGTAGTTCATCCATGGAGCCATGAAGCAGAACCACATGCACTGTCAGTGCTCTGAGATAGTCAATTCTTGAACTATGACAACTATTTTATAAGGAAAAAGGCAGGGTGTGAGGACAAAAAACTCATGCACTGCAAACCACTTACCCAAATCCTGAGTTTCTGCATAAAACCATTGAAGAAAAAGGCAAGTCAGCATATTTCCTCTCCACTAGCTGTATTTCTCTGCCGCCACAGGTTTCTGATAATGCAGAGCTTTCTTTTCTCTGAACGTATCTCCCTCTGCAAACTGCTCCCTGACTCTACCCTGCCATCTGCATACCTGGCCCTCCAAACAGTGCACTACATTCTTCCTGGGAAGCCTGACACAATAAACTCCATGGATTATGTGGTGAAGGGGTATCGTGGACAAGATACGCACTTGCTTGTTCAACCTGCTCTGCTGGCTATTTCTAAGTCTCAGGTGTTTGGTTTTATGTGCTCTACAGACTGGATTCCAAGTTCCTTAAAGGGCACAGGGCTAAAGTTTATTTGTATTTCCTAATCTCAAATCCCCTAATATGCCCTACACACAAGATACAGTCAGTAGTTATTGTTTATTTACAGCCCCAAAACATTACAAGGAAGTGTAGTCTAACAAACCTTTTATCCATCCATCCATGTACCAATTCATACCAGTTAACATGTACTGGGACCTATTTTCTGCTGCGTGCAGCAAAGGACAAAAGAAAGAATTAGACACAGATTCTGCCCTCTAGGTTTTATGATCTACCTAGCGAAAGAAGTCCACCTAAATGCACACTAAGGACAGAAATCGATGCACAAAAAGGACTGTTCAGGAGCATCGACTTTTTCCCATCAGAGGTCACCCCCCACCTATGCCCACCCCTACCACCTTAGGTCTCAGCCCAAGCATCCCTTCTTTCCAGAAGCATTTCCTGATAACCCCATCCATCATGCAACTCTCTAACACAGGACCTTGTTTACTCACCATAATCATGATTCTGCTATGCCTGGTCCCTTGGGGGCATGTCTGGCTCCCCACTATACTGTAAGCTGCATGAGCTCAGGGTCTGTCTTCATGTTACACTGTATCCTCACAGCTCCATCACCAAGAAGGCACTCAAGTATCTGTTGAATGGATTAACAGTTCCTACATTTACAGGGCTATTGTGAAGATTAAATGAGATAACACATGTTAAGTGCTTACCTCAATCAAAATTAGCTGATGGCATCTATAAAATAACATGTCTACATTTTAGAGACTTATCTAGATTATAAACATCAGTCTCATTTCTTTAATATCTTGCACTGTTTCTACTAACATGAGGCTTTTACATGTTAG